TTTTTATCACTATGCGAACATCGAATAAAAAATATCCGGATAACTAATTCCAAAATAATTTAATTTGAACTTTCTTTTATTCCTTAATGATACATTCTTTTAGCCACGTAAATGTTATAATGTTAAATTTGTCAAACAGGGAAATATAAATGAAATTGAGCACTAAGAAAATAACATAAGAAGTGATAAATAAAACACATGAAATTCTGCAAAAACACAATGACGATATTTAAAAGGAAAACAAAATAGGAGTGATGTTTTTAGTCACACTTTTTAATATTAGAAAGAAACGAATAAATTAAATTATACTATATAATAGTAGTTACCACCAGTGTTTTAAAAGATATGGACGTAAGACGAGACATTTTACATATGCCTCAGCGAGACGTAAGCCCCATAAATTATTTAATATTTTATAAAATAATATAATGACAATAAATATTTATAAACAGGTAAAATTATATAAAAATTGAAGAAAACTATAAATATGTGAAATATATATGCTTTATCTCCACAAAAAACTAGTCAAACAATCTATTATACGCTACTTACAAGCAATGTTTTAAAAGCGGGGGCGTGAGGCGGGGCGTTTTACTTAATATGGGGTGATGCATAAGCCTAGAGGCGGGGAGAGGGGGGAGCGTAAGCCCCATGGATCTTTAAAAATTTTAATTTATAAATTAATAAAATAACATAATAACACAAAAAAAATATAAAATATAAATTAAAAGTTAAAAATTAAAAGAAAACTAAAGGAACTCATAGAAGAATAATATCCAGCATGATTCTTAAGTATAGCTAATGCATACAAATCATGTATAACGTTTTTAACTTTCAAATAATTAAAAACTTATAATTTTTTTAAAATAAATTATCAAACTCCACATTTTACCTTCCTAAGAGTAAATAATCAATAAAATTTTATTAGTACGATAATTAAAATATTACTCCTTCATGAATAAATACAAATTAGTTTAAGATATCAAATTAAGAAAAGTGTATAACAAGGACGGACAAATGAACTAAGACACGACCAATATCAAGTGAAGATATAGATTCGCAATATCATGTCTCATTATTAGAGTTACGATCAATCTTCATATTTCTATCGATGAATAGAACTTTTATCATTAATTTGTTAAAGAATTTTGAAAGTCAACGATATTAATTAGGAAATTCTACACGTGATTTGCGTTAGAATTGTTAGGCGAGCCCCGAGCGTTAGGCGTGTTTAGGGCGCACGGTCGGGCGCTTGGGGCGTACGCCTTATAAAACTAAGCCCCATACATCAACCCCAGAGCGTTTTACAAGTGTCGCGCCCAGGGGCGAGTCCCAAAAATGCCTTTTAAAACACCGGACTTACCACACGCGACTTATGTCCCACTGAAAATATAATTTGAAAAATTAAAGTATGGAAATTTTGTATTCCGCTTTTAGGAAATATATTCGGAAATATTTGCATCTGGTCCCAAGGCTAGTTGTCGTTTCAATCCTCGGAAGTCACGTAGCTAATGATGACCAGAGATACATAATACAAAGATCCTATTGTCTCATTATCCCCTAACTTTACAACTATTATTCTCTCTCGTAGTACATACCATAGTATACCAATATTAGAATAATTAATTTTTTATGGGATAATTTTACTTCGAAATAATACTACTTTAAATGGAGAAATAAGATTTAAAAATTGGTTTAGGTAACTTTCGGCAAGAATTACTCTTATAGCTATAAAAATATTATAAAATATTTATAATCACAAGCTTCAATTGTTCTTTTAATATATGTCTAAAAATTAATTTTTTTCTTAAATTTCGTGCTTAATTAAATACCAAAAGCTTCAAACAAATCGCAGTGCATCTTGTTAAGCAGGCGTTGGGACCAAGGCGATAGTGTGCCAAAGGGTCTGAGTCTGAGGGGTTAAACTTTAAAGTGGTGGCAGTAAAGAGTGTAGTCACTTCGAGTAGGAGGCAGTTTTTTCCGGAATAAATAGTTTTAGTTTTAAATTTTAAAAAAAGGCGAACAAGAAAACCAAAACACAGTTCTCCATTCTCAAAAAAGCAAAGAGGAAGAAAAAAAAAGGTTCAATCTAAAGACGTGATGATGATAGTTTCAAAGAAGTTGGCAGATGCTAATATTCAGTAAAACAGTACTGTCCACAAACTCCCCTTCTTGCCATTATTGCATTTTCTGATGAGTTTGTCCACTTCTAATAAAGAAAGATTCTTCAATATCTCTAACTATATACAAAAAATATACTACAGTCTAAATACTAACACGCTAGTTCAATTTTCTGCAACTAAAACCACTCCTTATCTTCTGCAAAGAGTAACTAAAAAGGTTATGTCAATATAGTTTGTCTTTATATTTTGGGATCTTTACACAAGTAGCTTGTCAATTTATTTTTTAATGAGTATACATAAATTATACATGATTATATATATATATATATATATATATATATATATATATATCATTAATCATACATTTTTACTTAAATTTTTAACTACTAAAATTAAATTGTTTGATTTTATATAAATACTAAGTGTGAATAAGTAGGAATAAAGAATATTTGTAATGGTAAGAGATAACAAACTATCTTTATCACATTAGTAAGGTCACTACCACTATACTTGATGTTTGACATATTTCGATATGTGTTGATGTTACTTTACCCATGTTTTAACTGCTTCTTGATGTTATTTGATCTTTAAAATGCCCAACATGGTTTAATTATTGGTTTTATGACTAATTGAGTTGTGTGTGGTGAATTAGGGTGTTTGGAGTGCAAAAATATGAATAAAAGATGCTCTAGGTAGAGGAAGAGAGATTGGATGCGTCGCATTCAATCTAGAAAAAGATCAGATTTCGTGCACCCTTAGCAGTGAAGTCGGCCCATAGCGTCCACCATAGCATCCGAAGCTGAGAAGTGGAGGACGAGGTGGATGCGA